TATGTTAAAACATCTAGATATCAGAATAGTTTTTTCCCTTGTGCCATTGCTCTGTTAAACACTACATGACTTGATATGTGCAGGACAGTGGCTTCTTTCTTTGAAAAATATATTTTACTGTGTAGTGTTATTGTTTATTATTTTTCTGTTGCTATCCAAACGCACTGTCGATCTTGCTGTTCGTCACCGAAGACAAATTCCTTGTATATATTTTCTACTTGGTCATTAAAGTATTTTGTATTGTATTGTATTGGGTTGTATTGTATTGATAGCCTGGCACCTTGTCCCTTGAATCAATAGCCCAAATTCTTTTGGAAAACAACTAGAGAAAAATGCACCCCCCATGAGGAACGGAGTGTTAAGGGGTTTTTGTTACTCCAGGAGCTGCCGTAGTTCAGAAGATAGGACACCAACTGAATGGTGAACTTTGCACTCGCAGTTGGTCAGCTGGAGAGAGCTCTGATTGTCTTGTGGGGATCCCGCACGGGAACCTCTGCCCGTTCTTCCATTCCATAGTCAGCAGCAATGGGGATGACTTATGGACTGCACTCTCCCCTGTCTTTTTGTTATTGCAGTTTTTCATTGTAGTTTTTCACTGTTTTTAATTGGTTCTAAAGGTTGAACGTGGTGATGGTTAGTTTGTGCTTTAATTGTGTACACCACCCAGAGTCACATGCAAGCGACATGGCTGGTCATATAAATTCAATCAATAAATAAAAATTAAAAAATGCTTTGAAGGGCAGATGAGTGAAAAGGGTGCTCTGTGGAAGTGCTCTGAGTGTGTAAGGTTAAGAATGGGAATAATCTCACGCTAGTTTAGGCTTCAGTATGGAAGACAACAATTTCTTATATATTTATTCATTAAATTTATATCCAGCCCTTCCTCTAGGAAATCAAAGCATGTGATTCACGCTTTCTCTGCAACAGCAATCAAGCTGAAAGATAAGGATTGTGTCTACCACACAGTGAGATCCATGGGTGAATGGGAAACTGAACTCTCATTCCCCTCATCCCAGCTCAACCTTTCCAACTCAGGCATTTTCCAGATGTGTGGACTTCAACTCCCAGAATTCCCAAGGCAATCTGGCTTTTGATGAGAATTCTGGGAGTTGAAGTCCACACATCTGGGAGGCACCAAGGTTGGGAAAGGCTGCTGTAAGAGCTACACAAGGCACACTATCCCTGGTAAATGAGCACAGATTGCAAGAACAGCTAAATTGGTATTGCAATGGCAATGGAATATCCAAGGGTAAGCAGATTATCCTGGATTGGTGTATCTATCAGTCATAATTATAATCATAAATGCTACAGATCCTACTGGGAGTATTTCTTAGCTCCATTGGGATCATAGCCAATAAACGCTGAGACAGCAAGTTGCAGGAAGGTTAACTGACTTGACCTCTTTGCTTTCTAGATTTCAAAATGCCAGCCCAGGAGTCTCCTGGGAGTTACCAGGATGAGACTAAAGCAGGACAAGGTAAGTAAAAGAGGGGGACTTCATGAATCTCCTTTGGCAAATCACAGGGGAAGCCAAGGGTGCCACCTTGAAACATTTTAAAAAGATAAAGATAGTTGAACCATGATCCGTGCACTCTGGATAACTGAAGGATTTTTCTTCCAGGCTACAACTTGCCCCCAGCTTTAGTTTAATCTCCAGTTAGTTTAATCCAAACTGGGGCGGGGGGGGGGGGAGGACGGACTTCAGAAGCTTGAAAAACTTGATTTTGTTTTGAGAGTTGTCTTGATATTTCCTCCCTGAGCCTGAGGTTGGCAAACTTCATTGGCAAACTTTTCTGTACTGTAATCAATAACAAGGAATTCTTTGTGTACTGTGTGTCATTTCATATGAATCACTCACCCATCTAAGATCCCCAAACGGTTGATATCTCACTGAAAGGTGTGTGAATCTGTTCTCCACATAAGTTCCCATCCGTTGACCAGGGCTACGTCTCCAGCTATCTCAAGATGCCTGTTCCTGGCTTTTTCTTAGCTGGGGAAGATAGCTAGTGGGGAGAGATGGCCTTGGTGGTGGGATAAGGAAGACTGAGTGACAGTAAGTGAGGTATTACAGTTCATGGTGGAGAATCTTCATTCACACATAGCCAATGATGATTTTGCTGGGGACAGTTCCTTGCTCAACTGAACCACAGAGGGTGTGCTATTTTTGAGGAGGACTCACAGCACACACATATGGAAGACTGAGGTGATGCTCAGATCCCAAATGTTAGAGGTCTTGGGGACCCCGAGCATCCTCTTAGTGAGACTCATACCGTTGCAAGGGGTTCTTAACCTTTTGAGGACCTCCCCCCTCCAAGGGCTCCTTTGAGATTCTGGTGAACCCTACAGACCCCTTCTCAAGAAAATGATTTTAAATGCAAAATAAAATGCATGGATATAGATTGTATTACAAAGGCAACTGATTACGCTCGGATTCGATCAAAATATTAATGGCTTCTATGGATATTTAATTTGAAGTGCAAACTGTGCTGACAATTATCAAGTGCACGCTCTCAGAGAAGATGGTACTTCATACAATCCAGTGTATTCGTTTTTGTTTTTTTAGGGGATAAGCATTTTAGATTATGAGATTAAATAAACATTTTTGGAGCCTAGAGGCCATAAATTACTTTGTTGCCTGTGTTCATTACTGAAGAAAATCTAAATTTCAGTTAGAGGTTAGTGAAAATAAAGTTGTAATCCCCACCCCCCGCCCACCATCCAGGTTCTGCACCCTGTGATATCTACCCATGGATCCCCAAGGGGCCTATGGGCCCCAGATTAAGAACCTTTGGTCGATGGAATTTAAGTGGTTGTCTCTTTCAATCCCCGGGCAACCACTGAGAGAGAATCACACTGGTTTAAACAATTGTATTCAGCTCTGGGATGTCCGCAGAGTATGGTCAAAAAAGCCAAAATGGCGGCTGTGATGATACGATCAAAGTTCTGTCTGATTTGTTTATGTGCAGAGCTTTGATTGTACCATCATGGCTGCCATCTTGAGTTTTTTTACCATTCCCGGCAAACACCTCTGATTCAGCTACTGTCTCTTTCAGTCCCTGAGCATCCACTTAGAGAGATTCCCATTGGAAGAGAATCCAGGTGACTCACCTGTCTTGACTCACCTGCCTCCCTTATTCACTATTTCTGAGGCTACCTGCGCTCATAGCACACATACATGGATGATGGGGGAAGCGATGCTCAAGGCCCATACTTGAGAGGTCTTTAGAAAGGGACTGTTTGGGGGCCTGGCATAACATTAATCATGGTCTACATTATTATAAGAATCAAGCTGTGGAGCATAAAGTAAAGTGAGGCATAGCTGGTCATCTTTTGAGTTGAAGACTTTTTTGGGGCCTGGCAAACTGTTAGCCAGAGCTCTTAGAATCACAACATGTGAAAAGATGCAGCCTTTTGTAAAGTTAAATCTGGCCAATAATCTAGTTAGGAAGTACTTCATTGGCTGCTAAGCCACAGGCTGAAAACACCTGAGGGCAAAGCGATGCTTTATTAATCAAGAAAAAACTTCTTTAGCAACAGTGGTCAGAAGGTCCCTTGTAAAGCCTTATCATGCACAGAACAAGAACTGGGATCACAAAATGAATTAAGGAATTCTGTACAAACTTGAACAACCTAGATCAGTGTTTCTCAACCTCAACGACTTTAAGATGTGTGCACTTCAACTCCCAGAATTCCCCAGCCAGCCATGAGAAACACTGTCTAGATGTATGTTTAGGGAGTTACTGTAAAGAGATACTGTAAAGCTGTGTTTTTCAAACTTGGCAACTTTAAGATGTGAGGACCTCAACCCCCAGAATGGACACCCCAGGGCTAGCTTCCCTATTCCAAACACATTGGAACCTGCACATTTCTTTTAAAATCTGATGCCTATTCGTCTGCAGTCTTCTCTGTCCTTTTCCTCCAGATTTTACATGGATGGTGAAGGCTAATAACCGGGCTTATCATGCACAAATTCGAAAGAGGCACATCTGGTGTTTGAAGAAGAAAAAATATGCTGTAAGTCTTATTAGAGGCTGCTGGAGGGAGGGAGGGAGGAACAAAAATGTCAGGGATTTCAAACACTCTTTATATTCTGCTTCTGTGTGTGTGTGTTTTCAGTTTAGTGAGCCTCCCAGAAGCTTTAGCATTAAATGTATATAAGGAGAAACTCTTGCCTCTTGAAAAAAGAATTCAGGGGTATAGGGACCAATACTCTTGAGTTCACAAGGAAAATGTGTGGATTGGTGAATGATATAACCCATTAATGCCCAATCTTCTAGGGGTTTCTAGCCATCCAGCCTAAAACAGCTGCTAAAGCTATGCCGTGGACCCAGGGATTAAATCCCACGAAACTTGGACTGTAAAGGTGAGGGTGGAGAGACATACTTTCAGACTTGCAAGATTCTGTTAATGTAACTTTACAATAAAATTAGAGCTAGTACTCCTGGTTGTGTTTGTTGTCTGGACTACCTCACCAGGCTGACATCAATCTTGCAAGTCTGAAAGTACATCTCTCCCCACTTGCCTTTACAGTAAAAGAAACTAGGGAGGGTCCCTTCTGAGATGTTTGCCATATCCCCATTCCTTCTGCAGGCTCAGCTGCCTCTTATCTGACCAGTGGCTAGCCTGCAGCTCTTCCTCCTGTCTCCCAAGGTCATTCTCCCATACCATTACAGGCCCCCCAAAAAAGAGATGATCAAACCATGGTTAGGTGCAACTGGAAAAGACTCATCAGAGGTCACCCACTAAGTTAGGCTTTATGGAAAAGAACAAATGGGCATGAATTTGACATCAGAAATGGCAGTATTGTACCTAAAAACCAGTGGAGAATGTTAGGGTTCCTTGAGTATCACCAGTCTCAGATGTGGCCATCATGAGCAAAAGATGGATGTCATCAGAAAAAAGTTGAGTTGCAATCATACTTAACTACTTTTAGTTAAAGGTCACTATCTAGAGATCTTTCTATCTCTCACCTCTTCTTTTACTAGCTGCCCTCTTGCCAAGAACACCCATCTGCATATACAATATTCCTTTCTTTGCACTTCACTTCATGAAGTGGGCTATGATCTATGAAAACTTACATGTGATAATAAATTAGTTAGCTTAAGTTGCATGTGATTCTTTGCTGATTTATCATTCACAGGACAATGCCATTAAGACGGCTAAGTACAACGTTTTCACTTTTCTCCCTCTCAACTTGTATGAACAATTCCACCGGTTGGCCAATGTATACTTCTTGTTCATAATTCTTTTGCAGGTAAGCGGGCTCTTTATTCCATTTTGGATTAGCAGTGAAATTAGGACCTTTCTACCTTTTTATAGAGATGTGTACATAACATGTTCTGAGGCCAGAGGCTGTCAGCCCTCAAAAGAGGCTCTGTTCCCACTCTATTTTTTGGATGTGGGATCCATGGGGCTGGGGCAAAGAATCAAGATGAAGGCCACAATCACATGATTGAAGCCATGCCCCTTTTTAACATGCATCACTCATGTGAAAAGAGGTGAAATTTTCCGCCTTATGAGGTAGACCAGACAGGAAACACAACCAGATGAGCTAATTCTACCTTATTGTAAAGCTACATTAACAAAATCTTGAAGTCTGAAAGTACATCTCTCCTGCCATCTCCTTTACAACTCAAGAAACTAGGGAGGGTCCTTCTGAGCCTCTTGCCCCACCCACATTCCTGCTGCAGGCTAAGTTGCCTTTTATCTGACCATTTCCTCGGTTGGGTCTCTTTGCCCTGTCTCCCAAGGTCATTCCCATATACCATCACAGGAACTTCAGCCACATAGTCACAATTGCCATCTTGACTTTTTTGGTTCCCCCTCCAGAGCACTCCTGGTGGAGAGAAAAAAAACCTATGAGAAATTACACCACTCAAATTGGACCATTTGGCCACCAAATTTGGGGGGCATGATCTTGAAAGACTGAGAAGCTGGAAGGGAGGACTGCGTGTGGCTTCATGGTATTGGTGCTCACCAAATTGAAGTTTGAGGTTAATGAAAGTATGAACAAGATGAACATTATACTGATGTAGGCTTTCACAGCTGGTATCTGTTGGGCAGGGTTGAGCTCCGGGGTTTAGTGACCGTGGTTGTTATCTAGACCATGGTCACTAAACCTTGAAGCTCAACACTGCCCAACAAAATGAACATTCATAGACAGTTTGGCTTCTATTTTTTTCTTCAACCACCTTTAATTATACATGAATCCTATTCTATTAAAATGCAAGAAGAAACTAGGATTGTTTGATTCTTTTGTCATCTCTCATATGAGTTGTCAAGATATTTTTCAAGGGGTGGTTCAACACTATTGCTTGGGATGTTAGTGTGCTGAAATTACTTTTTCCAGATTCCTATAACATGCTACAACCTAGAAATTACTGAGCAAACAAAACAGAAGCTGGAGTAAAGTGGTTGTATATTTAATTTTGGAGACAAAAAATCCTTGTAGTGGTAACTTTTTCAAACTTGTTTATTTCCTGTGCCTTGCCCCACCTCCCCACCCTGCTTGGGCACCATAACATTTGGATCTAGTTAGAACAAACTTTTGCATCAATGAAGAAATCAGGATTCTAATTAATCTTATCAGATCTACCTTCAGGATAACACCACTGGGGATTCACAAAAACAGTTGAAAATAAGTTGTGTTTCTATAGCTTTTTGAACCCCTCCTTGATCATGATTGCCAGAAAGGGATGGTGGTTTCCAAACATTTTGAAGTTGCAAACAAATGAACATGGTAGGTAAGTTCTAAAATAGGCATAACAATGAAACATCCCCCAAATCTTCCTAAACCAGCACTACCTGCTGGGTGGCGTTCAGCTCCCATCCTCAGAATATTAAGTGTGGCCCTTACTCACCAGAGGATTGCCACCCATGCTATCTTGTATACAGGAGAATAAGTAGAACTCTTGGGGCCTAGATGGCTCCTGTAAAAGCAAGAGAATTCAGGTGTGAAACCACCTTCTCCATCTGTAATGGGCAGAAGGAATAATCTTGAGGAGCAGGAGAAAGAGCCACAACCAAGACAAGGGTCAGATAAAAGAAACTTGAGTCCGGAACAGAAATGTAATTTGAGAAAGCACACACATGACTGTCCCCTGGTTCTCATGAAGATAAAGGGAGGGAGGGGGGAAGCGCATTCAGACTTGCAAGATTCTGTTACTGTAACCTTATAATAAAAGTAGTATTAGGATTCCTAACTTTGGTTTTTTAGTCTAGTCTACCTTGGAGGCCTGACACCATCTTGTCACTCCAGGGTCCTTTCCTGGATGCTTTTTCCATCAATTCATGGTCCAAATGCATGTTGCTTTGTGGCAACTTAGTGTTGCTGCCTCCTTTTGAGCGACTTCCCTTTTCAAGCAGGGTTGGAAAGTAGGAAACGTGGGACAGAAATAAATAGTCATATTTTTATTTTGTACATACTTATAATGCTAGAAGCAGGAAAGTACAATACAGTATAAGCCACTGTAAACAATATGACAGTAGAATCCTGGTAGAATAACTAGAGGAGGAGAAAAGAGAAGTCCTGCAACAGAAAATAGTTTGGGGTTTTGTGGTCTTCTCCGGGGACTAAATTCAGAAGGTAGAAATGGGAAACCTCTAACTAGAGTGAGACAAAATAAAGAAAAAGGCCCTAAAAGCGGTAAAATGGAGGGTCCGTGTAAGAGTGTTCAGAGATCATCTTGTTCTATAGTAGCGGTGGCAACTTCTCCCTCCCTCCCTCTCTTCCTTCTTCTCAAGGCTTTGGAAGGTGTGGGGCAAAGGGAAGCCCAGAGCCCTCTGTGCCTGTGGGCCTCAAGGCCGCTGCCTTGCCTATTTCTCTGGCCCTGCTTGTTCAACAAGAATATATCCCCTGTTTCGATTCTGCTCCCCCCAAATGGGCAAGGACGCCTTGTTCCTGCTGAAGTTATTAGTGCAGAGTTCTCCCTTTAAGCCTCCTTTCTAATTAAACCAATTAAACCAAATTGCTGATCAGGCCTGCTGTGTGTTATTTTGAAGTGGAACTGAAAAGGAAACATCTCTAGTTTGCTTTCTATTCCAGACCATCCCACAGATCTCCACACTGCCTTGGTTTTCACTCCTCTTTCCCCTTGCTATCTTGCTCTCCATCAGAGGCATCCGTGACTTAATCGATGATGTTGTAAGTATTTGTTTTCATTGGCTGCCTAGGCGTCGGTCTAAGTGAGGGCTGGCTGGATCTCTTGGAGGAGGGTAGGGGGATCGTTCTACATCTGATGGGTCTATCAGAGTCACCTTGGAAGAAAAAGGCATGGTACTCCGACAGTCTACACCAGTGGTTTTCAAACTTGGCAACTTTAAGATGTGCGGACTTCAACTTCAACTCCAATTCCAACTTCAACACACTGGCTGGTGAATTCTGGGAGTTGCGGTCCACATATCTTAAAGTTGCCAAGTTTGAAAAACTCTGGTATAGACAACAGGTCATTTTTGGTATCGCTCTTTGTTCTAGGATCCTCATTGGCTATATCAGATAGGGAAACCAATTTTTTGTTTGTTTATTTGTTTAATCAATGAGAAATTGCTGATCAGGCCTGCTGTGTGTTATTTTGAAGTGGAACTGAAAAGGAAACATCTCTAGTAAAGTGCCTGGTTGAAACAAGAAGAGGAAGATTCTGGTTCATTTCCCTTTGCTTTTTATTTGAGCATAACTTGAGACAAGAGAATTCTGTTTTGAGTCCCCAACCCACCAGGATTCAGACTGGAGATTTTAAGGGATCCTTCCCACAGCCTTACACTTTTCGACCGTAAGGAGTAAGGACCACCTACCTTCAGATGAGTCCACCTGCATTTTTGGTCTTGCACCATACAGTTAGGTGTAACCTGTGTTTAAAGAAGTTAAGCCCGTGGCAAGAAATGTCTACAGAGAAAAACAAACAGGCTGCTCCGTGGTTGTTTTATCTTAGCTCAACCTGAGAATTCCAGGGCAAAAATATAGCAGTTAACCCTACTCTATTTTTGCCCTGGGATTCTCAGGTTGAGCAAGGCTAAGTGAACCATATCTTACAAGACCGAACTATTTGTACCCAGGAGAGGCAAAAGAGGACTAGTGACTTATCTAGCATTGAAAAAACCCATTTCCTGTATGCATGGCTTGTATAAACTTTTCACAATTTGATGGATATATTTCTAGTGAAATGTGAAATGAGATTTTCTGGTGTGAGTGGTGGCAAATATCTGATGTTATAGTGCGTGAAAATTACTGGATTAGAGGAAGTTCTGGATGAACAGAAGTTCAGTGTACCAATGCAATCCATTCATTCTTTTTTGCTTCTCAGGCACGGCACCGAAGTGATGCGGAAATCAACAACCGAGCTTGTGAGATCTTGACAGGTGGGAGGTGAGCCAACATGGAAGATTGTTGTTTACCTCCTTTGAAAAGTACTATGCTTTTAAGTGAGAGAATAGAGTCTGAGAATAGGGGATAATTAATATTTACAATATACATATACTCTCCCTGGAAGTTATTCATACTAATGGGCTTCCTTACGCTGAATGGGATGTCATCTCGTGACCAAATATAGAGACCTTCATGGCATTGCCAAAAGACCCGCATTAGAGTAGAAAGCTATTGCCTAGTTCTGAAAAGTTTGGGATTGATTTTCCACCTGACTGTTGGTTGGCTGGAATCACCCAAAGAAGATAGGGTGGATAGCTTGGTTGATTTGATTGATTTTTGCCTGTTGGTTTATGATTATTTTTTCCCCAATGGCGCTGAATCATCAAGCAGCAAACCACAAGAAACAGGGAGAGTGGAGATCTGTGGCATTTATCTCCCACAAGATCACACTTCATGCTCAAAATGCTGACTTGCAAAAATGAACTTGGTGTTTAGTGTTGAGATCTTCCTACTGAGCTGTGTACAAAGAGCACCTGTGACTTCAGCCTATTTGCAACTAGGGAGAGGTGAGATTGGACTGAATTTCTTCAGAGGTGGAAATGTTCTCCAACAATTCTTGAGAGTGACATTCACTACCAATTCAGCTTCTTTTTTTCCTGAGCTTTTTGACTTACTGCTGCAAGTTGTTGCCCCACAGAGCTGATTCCCCCATGTCCCTGACTATCTATTATCTCTCCCATCATCCTCAGTTTCAGCAAAAAGAAGTGGCAGAATATACAAGTGGGTGATATTGTTTGCCTCCGCAAGGACAGCTTTGTACCGGTAAGAATTTTTCTTTCCTTGTCTTAATCAAGGCTTCCACTGAATAATATATAAATTCTCAAGAGACATAAACATGGTTGAGCTTCAGTCCAGACTTTGTAGCTTTTCTAGCAAGTTCCCTAGGTTGAAAATAAAGCTTAGAGACAGGCATCAAATTTCCCTTACGTACTAAACGAACAAATGTTTTTGGTGAGATTATTTCAAGAGTAGTACAAATATTGAGATGCTAAAAGAAGCTGCCTCTTCTAATTGCGACAACTACATTTCAGTTCAGAACAGAAGAGCATCTTATTGGAAACCTTTGTACTCGCAAATCTCCATCTTTAGGCTGGATCTAGGGCAGTGTTTCTCAGCCTTATCAACTTTAAGATGTGTGGACTTCAATTCCCAGAATTCCCCAGCCAGCGTGATCTAGAGGTTTGAAGTGGGTGTCCTTTCTCATGTAGAGGCTTGCATGAAATTGCTGGCAGCATAGTCGCCATTGTTTAAACAAGTATATTAGGAAAAACTGTACAAAAAATATATTACATGCATTAGGGCAAATTATTTCTTAAAACTGCATTATGCAAAATTACACACTGAAGTCAAAATGACAAACTTATGACAAACAAAAGACAACTTATGTTGTCTTTTAAACATTTTGGTGCACAGTTTTCCAAAGACAAAGACTTTAGTTTGTAATTTTGACAATTGAACTGACGGTATAAGGCAGCTTCTTATATTTCATGACACCCTTCCCCTAAGTGGTGGCCTCCAAAAGTTTCAGGCCATAACTCCCATCACTCTAGCCAGCATGGCCAATCATTCTACTGACGGTGGAATGAGGGAGGTTGTACTCCAGTACATCTGGAGTGCAACAGATTGGGGATAGTTGTCCTGCATTCATGCAAAATCTACTCCAGATTGGTTTACTCTCTAACAAATGGGTTTAGGTTGCCATTTTAAGGAAGGTGACCATGGATGCCAAATGATGGCCTAATCTTGGCCTAGTCCACCAGTTGTGATGACATAGATTGGTAGTTGCTGACCCTGTTTGTGTCTATCAACAAAGCTCTCTGCTTTTTTTCAAGGCTGACCTCCTCTTACTCTCCAGTTCAGAGCCAAACAGCCTCTGCTACGTAGAGACAATGGACATAGATGGGTAATGTTCGTGCTTGTTATTTTTAAATTATTGCCCTCTCATCATACATAGAACATGAACCTTCTCAAATATCAGGTTTTGTTTCAAGGAGCTTACAGTTTAAACCAGTGTTTCTCAACCTTGGCAGCTTGAAGATGTGTGGACTTCAACTCCCAGAATTCCTCAGCCAGCATGCTCAGTCCACACATCTTCAAGCTGCCAAGGTTGAGAAACACTGGTTTAAACTAAGAAGTCACCTCTAGGAATTATCACCATCATCATCATCACCATCACCCTTCCTCTCTAGTCAGCCCAAAGCATTCCACAGAAACAAAACCACTGAACCAATTTCAGGAAAATTAGCCGTAATAAATCTGAGTACCATAAAATCAAACAATGCAAGCACAGTGTTATCCATTTCCTGTTATTTAAAAAGCGGTTTGGCCCCGCAGCAGCATTGGCCTTGGAAGTGCTTGGGGGAATATAAGACCTCTTTCAAACTTAGAGAGAAAACATAAAGGCCAGCCATATTTCCCCCAGGAGAGAGCTCCATAAGAAGGGCAGTTTGGCCAAGATCATTCCCAGGCTCCAAACCCCCAGTGACTCAGAAGCAGGGTCTCCTCAGCTGCTCTGAATGTACCACTTGAGTGGAATTGGGAGTGACCATTTTTTAAAATTATTTTAATTTTAATTTATTCAGAGGGGGGCTGGGTGCACATTTTTTCGTAATGTACAGATTTTATATACATGTATATTTTAAAAAAGCACATTGCAAAATTGAGAAGAGTGTAAATGGAAGGGAAGGGAAAGGAAGGAAAGGGAAAAAGGGAAGGGAAGGGAAGGGAAGGGAAGGGAAGGGAAGGGAAGGGAAGGGAGAAAGTAAAAAATCTACCAGTTCAGAATAATGCTCTATGATGTGGGATTGAGTGTACCATAGCTTCTTCCTCACGACCAAGTTAAAGGTGTCATTAGGCACTCCTTGAGTCAGAAGAAAAGAATGGCAGCATAAAATTTGCAACCCTGACTGCTCGTCCCTATTCCATCATAGTAACACCCCTGGAGAATGGAACTGTTTTTATTTATTGCGACCAAGTTCAGGAAAAGGATTGATGGCTCCCTTTGCTTTGTTTCTCCGCTCACCAAGTGGCACATGCATAAGAAAAACAACCCTCAATCTCCCTCATTCATGTGGATGAGGAGAAGTGAGTCTAGATGGATGCTTAAAAGGACGGGTTTACCTAGCTAATGGGAGAGGTACTCTTTTCAACCACACTTCTGTGACGGTTACCTGTCATTGAGCTATTTCTGAACCTGGATCTAGACATGGGTCTAGTGCGCTTTCAAAAGAGCACTAAACCTGTGTATATAGGAGCCCCTGTAAGACCCGAGTGAAAAGCGCCAGCCAGGCATCACGTAGGTAGAGGCCTCTGTAAAAACGAGATGTTTGGTTTCTTTTGCAGCCCAGGCCAAAATGGCCTCGGAGGGCATTGACCAGCAAGCAGAAGGAAGGGCTGGGTCTGCAAGCAGCCTAAAATGGCCACCAAGAGTTGGGCAGGTCCCAACCCTTGACCGTATCAGGAACCAAACCAATCAGGCTGTATCTGCATCAGAAACTATTTTGGGAAAAGAGGGAAAACACTACTCTAAACTGGAATAGTTGAGGACAGTTTAAACTGTCTCAGCTATGGGCTGTACATGGGATGAAGGCAGTATCCTTAGGACATGACTTTTTTAACCCAGTGACCAGGACGTAGGCATGCCATAGACAAACCAGGAAGAACCCTAATAGATTTTTCACACCTCAAAGGTGCTCTTGGATGGTGCTGGAATGAGGGCAAAAGGGATTATTTTAACGCCAGTACAGCTAAGGATGATTTAAGCTTGTTTCACTCCTAAGCTGGGGATGAAGTGAAGGCAATGTCATGGGGCCAAGTTAGGAAATAGATGCAAGCGGAGGGAGACGTTAAATTAATTTTGATGAAATGGCATTGGTTTATTTGTGCACAAAAAAACACAGGAAGGGGGAAAAGAGAGAGAAAGAGATGAACAGAAAGCCAAAGGAAGTGGCATGGTTCCCATTCCAGCGTTCATTTAAGGAATGTTCTCCATGAAACTGAAACTGTCTTTCCATTTTCCACTCATTTTCCTCTTTTTAATCTGACTCCGCTTTGCTTTTTTCAGAGAGACAAACCTAAAATACAGACAAGCTCTCCTGGTAACACATGAGCAGCTCACCTGCAAGGAGAACATGGCTGCCTTTGATGGTCAGTGTTCACCAAGATCCCTTCTTTTCATTTTCAGAAACGGTTCCATGGAATTGGTGATTTCACTTATTATTACCCTGGTTCCTCTGAGGCAGTGTTTGTCAACATTGGCCACTTTAAGATGCGTGGGGGATTCAACTCCACCAACAAACCCACCCCACTCCCTGGGCGGCGGGTTGTTGGGTTTTTGTG